ACAATCATTTTAGATTCGGGTGCTGACTCAAGCATGGTGCCCGCTGAGTTTTTGGCCTATGGTCAGCCTGCGGTTGAGGCCCCGCAGCTTGCAGATGCACAGGGAAATTTGATCCCGACCAAGGCCGTGCGCAGGTATGAGTTTTGGCTCCGAGACCGGCGCGGCCAGTACTTTGTCATCAAGGAAGACTGTGTAGTCGGGAACGTTCGTGTGCCACTTCTTGCCATAGGAAAACTTCTTCGTAGGGGGTGGCAGTTGGTGCATGGAGGCGGGGGTGAAGGGCTCTCTCTTCAAGAGCCGTTTGGGAGGCAAGCGGCCGTTGGCTACAGGAACCACTCTTTGATGATTCAGGGCAGCGTTCGTGCCTTGACCGAGCAGCCCCGCTCGCTTCCTGCCGTGGTCCCTGAAGTTACTTTGCCGAGGGAGATCGCTGATAAAGCCAACAGCCCTGGCATGCGTACCTTGGAGCTTGGGCCAGGCTGGAAGATGTTCGTGGCGAAGGCGGCCACGACGCTCTTCGATCCGAAGGAGTGGTTTGATCCCCTGCTGTTCCCTTCCCGCATGACGCTGGTGAGGAAGGATTCTGGTGGCTGGCTTCAGGTTGAGAATTCCGCTGCTTATGTGCACGAGGCCGTCCCCTTCGCCGTTTTCTCTGTCGAGCCGAGGTGGACGATCACCTTCTTTGCCCGCGAGCCTTTTCAGGAGAACTTCATATATGGGTGCACCGGGCCCAAAGAAAGCGAGCTGGAAGCAGCCCGCCGAGAAGCTGAGGCTGAGCGTCTGAGGCGGCCCGCGCTCTTGGATGCCGGCTCCGCGGGTGCCCGTGACCGTGTTCCAGCTCCACCTGGTGGCAGCCGTGACGAGGGGCCCGCGCAGCCCCCAGCAGGCCTCGAAGGAGATGAGTTAGAAGCTTTTGTGGCGAAGCAGGCGGCCGATGCTTTGGAGGGCGATGGGCTGCGCTCACCGATGGCGAGGGAAATGCCGGATGAGCCCACTCCACCGATGAGGAGAGAGCTTTGCATGCTCTCACGCATATTCCTTTTGCGAAGTGGTGTTCAGCTTGTGTGCGCACCCGCTCTCGCGCCGATGCTCATCGACCGCAACTTGTGGAGCAGCAGTGGTCTGTTCTACAGGTGGATTTCTACTTCACGGCAGCCGACCCTACAGGACGCCCAGCACCTGATGATGATGATGATGATGATGATGGCTCTCCTCTTTGCTGTTTGCTGGCGGTGGACTTGGACACGAGGATGGTGCTTGCTGTGCCGTGTCCCGGCAAAGGGGCCACCGTGCTGGCGAGATGCACTCATGAGCTGGCCCGCTTTACGATAGCCCTCCACGCCAGCGAGCCCGTGACCATTCAGTCGGACGGGGAGCCAGCAATAAAGAGTGTGGTCCGCGCTGTGGCGCAGGCGCGCCACGCGTTGGGCCACCGGACCTTGCAGCGTACGACTCCTGTTGGTGACCATCAAGCGAACGGAGGAGTGGAGAGAGCCGTTCAAACTGTTCGGCGCCTGGCCAATTGCTTGATTTGTGACTTCGAGGACAGGCACGGGAAGCTGCCTGTGGACACCGATCTCCGCGCATGGTCCCACTCCCACGCGAGCTTCTTGTACAATCGCTACAATGTCGTGGCAGGCTTGCAGAAGACCCTCTACGAGATGGCCCACGGAGGAAAGCCCGTCACAGCCAAGCTTTGCTGCTTCGGGGAAGTCGTGTTTGGGAAGGTTCCTCGTACATACAAAGGGGAACCAGTGCTGGTGGACGGGATGTGGGTTGGCATCAGCGAGCACAACGGCACCGATTGGATGATGACCGAGTTCGGGGCAGTGCAAGCTACATCGGTGCGGCGCAAGCAAGGAGATGCAGCTACCAACCAAGGAACTTTTGGCTAAGTACCACGGCCTGCCGTGGGAGAAGACCACTGTGGAGAAGAAGCGGCGCAAGCGAGCACCCGTTATTCCGTTGGCCGCTCCTCTTGCTGATCCCGGTGGTGCCCCTGACCTTGCCGCGCCGTTGGCCAATGCACCAGCAGATGCCGAGCAACGTGGAGATTTGCAAGCAGCCGGTGGAGACGAAGCAGCCTCGGACCCTTCATCTTCTTCGTCCGAGGAGCTTATGGCGGATGATGGTGGCACTCCAGCCGCCAAGCGCAAAGCTGAGGAGGTTGGCCTTGACGACGCAGAGCGCGCCAATGCAGCTGCCAGTTCCGAGCCCATGGTGCGTGCGATCGAGACCGTCGACGCGGATTGGTTCGAAGCCGGCGCTGGGATTATCGAGCCCAGCGGCCCCAGCCCCGATGAGGACGAGTGGGAGGTCGTTGGGCAGCCCACAGATGAGCCGCCCGACCTGTCTGAGGCCGAGCTTGCGGTGCTGGACGGCTGGACCACGAGGCGGAGCGCTACGAAACGGAGCGCCTAAAGTGGCCTAAAGCTCATGGATGTCCTCCGCGAGCCCACCCACGAGCTGAACTACTACGAGAAGCTCACCGTGACCTTTGTGCACAAGTGGAAGCACGGCGGTGAGAAGGAAGGCTGGTGGCGGCGAGCACGGCTGGTCGCCCGCCAATACAAGTGGGCAAGCGAGATGGGCGATGAAGAGACGTTCTCTCCAGCTTCAATCACCCCCCTTTCGCGTCACCTTCTCTTGCTGGCCCAGGAGTGGAACACGCCTATATGGATATGCGATGTGAAAGACGCATATTTTAACGTGGAGCAACCCCACGACGAGCCGGTGGTGCTGATTGGCTACCACTACTTCGAGCTTGGCCGCGTACTCCCCGGACAGCGTCGTGGTGCACAGGTGTGGTGGCGACAATTGCAAGGAGACCTCAGCGAGTGCAACATGGAGGGCCTCCCTGAGGTGCCCACTTTGCTTCGCAGCCTTGAAGGCCGGCAGGCCACTCAGGTGCACGTGGATGATATGATGATGACGGGCGACGAGGAGCCCACCAACAAGGCTGCCTCCACCTTGAAGGACAAGTACGAGATGAAGGTGCAAGGCCCCTTTGGCTCACCGGGCGACGAGTGGAACTTCTTGAACCGGCGGTACACCATTGAGGAGGATTTCTCGATTACGGTGCGGCCCGATGCAAAGTTCTACGTCGACATCAATGAGATGCTCGGGCAGCCACGTGCCCGCTCCACTCCCGGACCGGGTGGAGGCGACAGCCTGTTCAACGTGGACACCACCAAGCCCTTGGACAGTGCAGACTCCCGGCTGTTCCGGACCATGGTCGGAAAGCTCCTGTACTTGAGCAACGAGCGGCCCGATGCCCAGGTGGTGATACAGTACCTGGCCTCCAAATCGAGCTGCCCCACGGAGCAGTCGATGAAAATCCTCAAGCACCTGGCTGGCTACTTGTATGCCACCCGTGGCTATGGCGTGAACCAAAGAACCGAGCTGGTGTGTCGATCCTCCGGGGCAACCACATCAACCACGACCCGGTTTGCAATGCTTTGGTGGAGGCCGTCAGCGACAGCAACTTTGCAAACGACCGCGAGACCCGCCGGAGCTTGTCCTCAGGGCAGGTCTACCTCAACAGCGCGTTGGTGTACAGTTTCGTGAGGAACCAGAAGGTCGTCACTCTGTCGAGTGGCGAAGCAGAGCTTGTGGCACTGACGCAGACGGTCTCCGAGGCAGTGCTCATCAAGAAGGCTTGGGCTTTCATCTTTGACGGCCCGGTGGACATGATCGCCCGCACTGACTCGAGTGTGGCACGGGCAATCGCCCAAAGAGCAGGCGTCGGCAGAGTGCGTCACCTGCAGACTTCATGTCTATGGATACAGATGTGGACAGCCTCTAAAGAGCTCAAGGTCCTGGCCATTCCCACCGAGACCAACCCAGCTGATGCTGGAACTAAGGTGCTTACCGGAGCACGACTCAAGAAGCTATGCGGCTTGATGGGCATGGTGGATGGCAGCGGCAACTTGATCAAGGACGACACTAACCACAAGGCCAAAGCTGGAAATGCGATCAAGGTGCTCATGATGGTGCAAGCGTTGTTGGACACCACTCAGCTTGAAGGATGTGACAATGGACGCCCCGATGACCTGAACTACATCCTGGACTACCTCCTCGAGAGCTTCTATGTCATCGGCTATATGCTTTCTATGGTTGGTGGCGGCTACCTCTACTCTACGTGTTTGCCGGCATCATCGTGATGATCCTCAGCGTCTACCTGGTCTTTAAGTCTTTGGCGCGCGCTGGCGAGTTACTTTTGTGCTGGAGAACCGCCCCTACACTTCAGGGCTTGGGTCGGGCTACGCAGATGGTGGTTCAACTTCCGAGGGGGCGCCTTCCAGCGCTTCGAGAGGAGACGCCGAGAACGACAACACCAACGAGGACCAGATCTTCGAGGACACCTCTGGCAACGCAACGAGTTCGAGCACACCTTTGGCGACAACGAGTTCGAGAACACCTTTGGCGACAACGAGTTCGAGAACACCTTCGGCGACAACGAGTTCGAGAACACCTTTGGACACAGCGAGTTCGAGAACACCTTTGGACACAGCGAGTTCGAGCACACCTTTGGACACAGCGATTCGAGCACACCTTTGGACGCAGCGAGTTCGAGCACACCTCTGGACACGACAAGTTCGAGGACACCTTTGGCGACAACAAGTTCGAGGACACCTTTGGTGACAACGAGTTCGAGGACA